CAGAAACAAAAAACGTGCATTTCGGAAGGGAAGTACTTGACCTGCGCTCATTGCAAGGCGTTGAGCACGCAGCGCAAGCATTTTTGGTACAGCAAATTTTAATTTTCATTTACTTCTGGGCGCATCGAAAGTTCTAGTTTTGTTTTCGGTGAAAAATCTCCTCTCATAGTATTTCATATGTACATTTATTCTACGCGTTTTTGTGTTTTTTCAGAAATTTTTCTGTATCAATAAAGTTTTTGTTCGATAAAGCGTGTATATACATCAGAACAACGGACCGAACTGAGCTGAGTGAAAGACCATGAGCCAATCCCTGAATGCCCGTATAAAATCCACAAAGAAGCTATTTTCCATGCCCAGTTGCTAGCCACTAGGAACTAATAGGACATGTAGTATTTTCATCACTTCGCCGATTCTTCTCGTCCGCCAGACTCGCAATTTTATCGTCCTCTGCGCAGGCGGTGATATCTGCAAAGAAATTGTATTTCTCAGAGCTTCTACGATCTTCATGACGCTTTTGAGGGGTAAATTAGAGGGCAGCTTTGTCTCTCCATTCTTACTGTTTTTTCCCTTCTACATCCAGTTGTAAAAAAACAACCTAGTCTGCAAAACAAATAAGTATAATTGGCCAGCATACTGACTGCCGGTGCGAAAATGCGTTTTTTGCATAGTTCCCGGCAGATTTTTGTCACTAGCGGCACCGGTTTTTCTACAAATGCATCTAACCAAACAATTTGAGACCAGCCGCCAAGATTGTCAGGAAACAGTCCCATTAAAATTACGACCTTCCACCTTTTCTAGTCCCCAAGTTAGCAAATTCCCGAAAAAAAACTTTCCCAGATTCGCAAATGGGGGTCACACATACCTTGGGACTAGGTTTGAATTCATTAAGGCCTACGTGAACGGGGAGCTTCACCTTAAATTTCTAGCTTTCTAGCTTTTCTGGTCCTCGAATTAACAGCTTGCCCTTCAAAAACTTTGGCGAGCCCGTGCGTGGGTACCACGCGGGTAAAGGCGTTCGTTTTGAAGATGGTTTCTATACATGCATGTAGATTAAATTTCGAAAGTACCAGCCCTTAAGTTTTTTTAGGCCTCGAGTTGAAAAATCGGTACAGACGAATACACAGACACACATATACAGACAAATTCCTCGTCAATATGCGGTTTCTGTATTTTATAGGTGCAAAAAACGCATTAAAAAAAATGAAAGCTTAGCCTGTGGAACAGAAAAAAGATAGTTTTTATACGTTTTTTGCAGCTATGCAATGCAGGAAACGCATACTGACGAGGGGTTGTCTGTGTGTGTGTCTGTCTGTCTTTGTGTCCGTGTGTGCGTCTGTCACGGTTTTTCATCTCAAGACCTATAAAAGCTGCAGGGCTGAAAAATTTGGAACTTAATCGATATGGACGTACGAGTCCCAATCTCCAAAATGGGCACTCTCACCGGCGTGGTACCTACGTACAGGCCCGCTAAAATTTTTTTCGGGGAAGCTGCTAAATTGGGAATTTGAAAAGCTAGAAGACTGTGATTTTAAGGAGATATTCCCCGTCCATCTAAATCTCACTGAGCTCAAATCCACTCCCCCCTCGCCCCCGACTATGCGTACTACCCACATACGGGTCCGTAAAAGTTTCTTCGGATAAGTTGATAACTCGGGAACCTGAGAAACAAGAAAACTGGAATTTTAAGGAAATGTCCCCCATTCACGTAGGTATTAATGAGCTCAAACCTAGCCCGGCTATGAGTTATTTCCGCATACGGGCCCGTGAAAAATTTTTTCGGGTATGTTGATAACTCGGGAACCTGAGCAGATAGAAGACTGAAATTTTGGAGGGATGTTTCTTGACACTCCTGGCGGCCAGTCTGAAATTCTTTTAGCTAGAAACATTTGCCGGAAAAAAAGTGCCGTCAGCGGCAAAAATCTGCGGGGAACTGTGCAAAAAACGCATCTTCGCACGGGCTACCTATGCGTTGGTCAATTACTGAAAGTATGGTATCATTTGCGCCTTGAATAAATCGACTCCTATCAAAGTGCCGTTTCAGCATTTTAAACCCGTAGCCACCCTGGCGAGCTTATGCGAAGAAAAGTATTTGTAGAAAGGAACGAGTAAAGAGTTTTATATCCTTAAAATAACATAATTTTGGCTAAGAAGCATTCGCTGGAACTCCTAATGTCTGTTGCTCGGCGATTTATGTACACATATTTTTTGTTCCAGGCTCATCTGGCTCCTAATGCTAGGTGTATCATTAACAAATGACCATCGGAAAAAATAAATGAACGGCGCCTG